CAATTCAAGGATATGCTTAGCCTGATATTCTGCCTTCTTTTGAAATGAGATTCTTGTTTGTTTGCTAAGTACACATTCTTCACAGAACTTTCCTTCATAATCCATATCTGGTAGTCCATGCACCATGTTCCTTTTCGCCAATCTCTTTAAGCCAGCGTGATGTAGATGACCAAAGCGTAGATGCCATAGTGACGCTTTGTCTTCGACATTTACTTGTAAACATTTTTCTCGAACGTTTATCAGATTCAGTTTGTACATTCGATTTCTCTCCATTTCGACACGAGCAATCAGGTGTCCCAGCTTGTCCTTCAAATGCAGTATTCGTTCTTTCATAAGTATCGAATAACCTTTTTCTGTAAGTTGTCCCAAACTCAAGATGTTGGTTTTGAGATTTGGTACATAATAAACATCTTGAATTGATCCAATCAACCCATCTTTCTGCAAGTAACGGATCGTTCCCTTGCCTTCGACCTTCACTTTCGATGCATCTCCGAAAGACACATTTCCATCTTCAATCTTTCTCATTTCTTTGAACAAGTGTTTGTGACCACACATATGGTTACTTGCTCCTGAGTCAAGATACCAAACATTGTCATTTGTGTTGATCTCATTTTGAGCCATCAAGAGAAAACCTTCATTTGCTTCAGCTTCCAAAGTTAGATTGGTTGTTTCTTCTACCTTCTTTTCGATTCGACAGTCTTTTGCAAGATGTCCCACTTTATCACAGTTATAGCATTTGAATGAGTTACAATCCTTCACATAATGACCATATTTGCCACACTTGTAGCATTCAAAGTTTGAATGGTTCGACCTACCACCTCTTTGACCACGTCCTCTGCCACGCCAATTTTGTTGGATCGACTGTCCTCTCTCGAAATTGCTGCCTCTACCACTTCGACCACTGTCACGTCCTCCACGACCACGTCCTCTTCCTCAAAAATTTTGAGAAAAGAGTACCTTTTCGTCTTTGATTTGCTCCTTGGTTTGATTTGCGTCCTCTACTCCTTCTTCCTTCTTTTTCATCTTTCGTTGTTCGTGTGCTTCGAGGGAACCAGCGAGGTCTTCGACTGAGAGTGTCGAAAGGTCCTTCGACTCTTCTATTGCACACACAATATTCTCAAATTTATCTGTTAAAGATCTCAAAATCTTTTCGACAACTCGTGCATCAGTTACTGTTTCGCCATTTCTGGTGAGTTGGTTCACCACCTTTTGTACACGCGTTATGTAGTCAGATACATTTTCTGACTCCTTCATCTGCATCCTCTCCAATTCTCCACGAAGAGTTTGGAGTCGAACTTGCTTTACTCGATCTGCTCCTTTGAACACTTTCTCTAGCGTGTCCCACGCTTCTTTCGACGTAGTCGAACTGGCAATCTTTTCGAATCCTGATTCATCAACAGCCCTAAACAGCATGTATAGTGCCGTTTTATCCTTCGATCGCGTCTCTTTCAACGCCTTGTTTTGAGCTGCCGTATATCCCCCAATATCTGTTGGTTCTTCAAACCCATCTTTGGTCACCTCCCACGCGTCTAGAGATCCGAGAAGTGCTTTCATTTGGATACTCCAGTTTTCGTAATTTAACTTCATTAACCGTGGCAACGGCATTTGATTCATCATGTTTGCCATTAGCTCTGATGCCAATTTGACAGAATAAAACAAGTTCTATTGTAACTTCTGTGTTGTATTAGAATACACTCTTGGTCTTTATATAGACTCACAAGCTTTAGCTATTCTAGGAAACTTGATAATTAGAAAATACTATTAATTTGCCCACTATCACTTGGCCTTCCAATTACAACAGACTCTTAAACTCTCCATTAACTCAATAGTAAAAACTCATTAACTATAACATTAAAGTTTATTCAACAATGGAGACTACATAGAGAAAGAGATAAGAACGTTTTAGCTGTTGCTGCATTTTTTATTTTTAATTCTTCTTTTTTAATTTTGTTAACCTAGGATGTTAATTTTTCTATAAAAGAATCAAGTACTTCTTTTTTATATACAATTATACGAAAGGGCTATCAGAAAGGGTAGGAAGGCAATTCCCCATGTGGAGGTTCTTTTAGTATAATTAATTAGGGATTTTGTATTATTTGGGTCGGATTCAAGTTACCTTTAATGTTTGTTCTCTCCCATATCTATATTTGTACCACTCTCATGTTTGTATTTCATTTCTTTATCTTTTTGCCACATTTTTTTTATTAATTTAATTTTTTATTATTTAATTAATTTTCTATAATTGATTAGTTGATTATATTTTAATTAATTATTTGTTTCTCTAATTACTAAGTGATCATTTGATTATTCATCTAGTTGATTGTGTTGCGATCTCGAAGTTAAAATTTAATTTAACTTTTGAAAATTGCTTGAACACATAGATTGTTGCTCGACCACTTATAGAGTGATTTTTAAATAAATTTATTCTAAGTTAGCTTCGAGCTAAATTTAGTTTGCTTTCGATTTCGGTTTATTTTAGTCTCGTGACTTACTCTTGTGTCTTCTTACAATGAGTTTTTTCTTTTGTGTATTTGCATTTACTTCTTTGATAGCTTGTACTTTAATCGCTTTATTATATCCCCATTGAAAAATATACCCCTCTCCCTTTGATTGCAATTTGTATTTATTTGTTTTTTATTTTCTTGTCATTAGTTAGAGAAACTAACCTTTTAAAAAATAATAATAATATATAAAATCAACCATTTTCAAATAAAGAACAAAAAATAATATTAACTCGATTTAACGTCGAGTCATTTTTCTCAAGTTAAACCACCATTTATTTCAAACTATTTTACTTCACATTCAAACCATTTACAAACTCTTTAATCACTTCAAACCCTTTTCATAATCATAAACAAACATCGATCAACATTGAGTGGATTTTCTCAATTAAAGATTCATAACACTTGTAAATATTCAAACCTTTTTCATAACAAAATTGAAATAAAAAGATTAACTGGGTGAAAGGTCCTGACATAATCTCGAGTGTTATACCCAAGTGGTAAAAGTTTGCAAGTCATAAATACTCATCTTCAAACCCAAAAATACATAAAACACATTCAAACATTTTTGCCTCTTGACATAATTTAAAAACATTTTCAAAACAAAAGACATTTTGTCTCAAGATGATGCAAAGCAAAGCTTTACCCATAATCATTGAGTTGAGATATCTGACGTTTTACCGTGAATGTTGATTCATAAATCTATTCAATGTGATGCAAGCGTCCACTCCTCATCTTTTTTGGATAAAATAATGTTTTTCGTCAATTGATACAAGGTAGCTTTCGTTAAAATTGACCAAAAAAACAAACATTTTCTATCCATAATTACATAAGCCTTGAGTTCTCTATTGTATCCGGAGATACGTATGAGTGAGATTCAAAGTCTCGTCAGACACCCTAATAAAAAATAAACATTTTAATCCTATTTTTTCTCTTTAATAACTTGAGAAACCTATCATTTCAAAGTTAACACTAACGCGCACAACTAACATAATGGTTTCTGTTGAGTACAACGGATGTGAGGGATGTTAATACCTTCCCCTTACGTAATCGACTCCCGAACTTTGATTTAGTTGCGCCGACCATATCTTGTCCTTTCATTTAGGGGTTTTATCAATATTTTCTCTTTTCCTCTTCGAGAATAAATAAATTTCAGTGGCGACTCTGATAAATTTATCCCGCAAGTGTGCGATTGCGCTTTGCGATGTCATGTTCTCATTTTCCGAGTTACGACGTGATGACTTTTTCTCTTTTCTTTCGTTCAAATCCTTCGAGTACAAGGATGATTGGACTTCTTCAAATGTCAGAGACTCTTTCTTCCATACAAGATGATTTCTTTGAAGTGAGCATGAGATCTTGGTAAAACGCACAATAGTAGCAACGCTTGATCTTTATCATCAATATTGACCTCGATATTTTCAAGATCAAGAATCTTGGCTTTGTCTTCACTCATCTTAAGGGAATACAAAGCTTACTTCAGGTAGTGACGATTGACTAAATATTTGGTCATATACAAACCCCCGAGTTTGCTCTATACACTCGATGTCGTCTTCTCCTTCGAGATCTACATGAGAACCTTATCACTAAGACTCAATATAATGGCATTATGGGTTATCTCGGTCATCGTTGTCTTCTCCTTCTCCATTAGAGAAACGTCCATCTTCTCTGATCCTTTCAACGCTTCTAACAAACCCTACTGAACTAGTAAGACTTGCACTTCAAATGTCGTAAACCGAAATCATTCACGCCAGTGAATTTCTCAATCTCATACTTTGTTGATGGCATATTCTCCTTCATGCTCACCACACCAACTTGTTGTGAAATCGATACCCAGAAAATAGATATGATTGATTTGTTGATTAACAAGAAAATCACAAAGAAAAATAAAAGAGAGAAGAGAAGAAAGACAATTCAAATTGGTTAAAAACTGATTTTTGAATTCAATTACACATTAAAGAGCAATATTTACAATTGAATCTCAATCAGATCATTTTCTCACTCTGATTTGAATTATCAGGGATTGATGAAAAAGTGATGACTAGTATGTTATTTATAAGAAAATTAAACTCTAACTTTCAAGTAACATACTAAACAATTGACTCAACGAACTGACTTAAATTAATATGTAAGTTTAAATAACAAACTAATATATTTCGATAGTTATACTACTTTCCCGACTTCGACATAGCTCTTCAATTTCAAAAAAGTTTATTATAATACTAACTTATAACCAATAAATTACATATTTCTTAGAAAAACTTATTACTCAATTGAAGCTATTTTTAATTTTTAATTTAAAATTTTTCCAAAATTTAAGAAAACTCGTCAGAATAAAATATTATAAAAAAGACATTAAAAAAAGAATAAAATAATATAGTTGCTTTCCACGTTTGATGAACTACTAAATAAAAATAAAATAAAATAAAAGAAGCAAGTTGATGATCACACAGCATAAACAAAACAGCTAGATAAATTAATAATAATAGTAGTAATAGTTGTTCAAGTCAAAGTTTCACTCATATACGTTGAAATCTGGTAAAAGCATATTATATGAAGAATCATTTTTGAGAAATGATCAAAAACAATAGAGAACTTACTTTCTGTAGAATTGCAGAGAGCAGAAAGAAGTTCCTTGAACCAATTCATCTGAACCGTTAATGAATAATTTGTAGCAACGTTATGAACATCCCTCTCTTCAAAGAAACTAACGTCTAACGCCGTTGCTCCTATAACCGCAAAATTCGCTCCTTCCTTTGCCGCACTATCTTCCAATACACCATTTTTAATTCCCAAATACGGTTTCACCATCGGAATCCCCAATGACTCGGCTGCAATTGAAAAAAAAACGGTTGTATTAACGACCGCAGTTAACGGCGTAAGTTGTAAGTCGTTAGCAAGTAAGAAACATACCGATGAAATCGATGATGAGGCGTCCATCGGAGCACCGACGGGATGGATGATGAAAATAGGTTTGGCCGTAGGGAGAAAAGAAGCAGTGATTGGAAGGTTCGGAGGAGCTAAAAAACAGATTACCGGTGTCCGCTAAGGAATCACCGAAGCTGAAGATGGAGGAGTAAGAGGGACATGCCGCCGTGAATGAAGGCGCAGAAACAGTTATCACAAGAAATAGTAACAGTAATGTCATTGTTCTCGGTCGTTGTAGCAGCTGCCTTGAGAAATGTGAACTTTTACTATATAATAATGCACGATTAGGTGTATGATTGAGAATTCTTTACAGCCATATTATTAAAAAGAAAAATTTTATTCATGCACTAAATTCTACACCAATATAGTAAACAGTAAATTATATAAAAAATTAATATTTTAATTGTTTTTTAAATTTTAAATTAAATAATATAGATATAAAATTACGTGATTAACTAAATTCATATTTTAATTAACTAACTTTTTATTTTTTATTAATCAATTTTGATTTATTATTAAAAATATTTTTAACTCTAAGCGTCTATTAACCAACTTCATCACTTTATTAACAAACTTTTATATTTTATTAATCAATTTTATTTCACTATTTTAAATTACTGTTCACCGATACGGTTCACGTACACTATTTACGCACTGTTATTTTAAATTACTGTTCACCGATACGGTTCACGTACACTATTTACGCACTGTTCATGGATAATGTTTATGCATTATTCCTATACTATTTATAAAAATATTTTTTTATTTAAAAACAATGTTGGTGTATGTATTTAGTGTATAATATAGTGTAGAAATAACAAACCTGATTTTTATTATAAAACCTACCTTTTTTTTTTTTTGGACACTGTCCCCATTTATTAAATAGAATCTATTTTATTTTATTTATTATCATATATTTAATTGCGGCACCTCTATACTGAAAATTATTTTTATTTAAAATAATAATATGTTAGTATATATGATTGAAAAATATGATATTATAATTATTTATTTTTAGTAGTAGGACAATGTTGTAAAAAAATCTGTAACCGATTGCTCATCTTCAAATATGTGATCCAAATAATTTATTACTACCCCACAATTGTTCTCACTAAAAACGTTTTGTATTTTTTTAAATCACAACTTAGCTATAGGTGGGGCATTCTTTATTTTGGAGTAAGGATAAGGAGAAACACATACACCATAATATAATTTTTTGAATAGGGATTTGGTAAGTTCAAGAGTAATATTGAGATAAATTGCTATGGACCAAAATTAAGAGGCTAGGACACTACAATAATAATGAATTTCATAATGAATTTTTATCTCGATTAATATTCAACTAAGTGTAAGTTATATGTGTAATTTATTTATTCATTTATTTTAAAAGACTATATATCCCTTTGGTTAAACTTACGGCCGATAAAAAATATCTTTAAAAGACATACATTCGGATTCCCGCCATCAAGTATATTTTTAAAACATACTATTTATTTTTTTGATTGAGTCGACATTCGACAAGAGATAGGAAAAGTATGTCACTTGAAGCTTTTCATTTTTTAAAAATTAAAATTATGGCATTCTATTTTCTCAATTGGGGTGACAATTGATAGGTGTTAATGGTGCAAACAAAACCTTATTTTTATTATGGAAGAAAGAGTAATACAATCTCAATTTTATAATGCAAAAGATATGCCTTATTTTTATTAGTGAGTTACACAACCATTAAAATTCTAACTAACTTAATTGTAAGGTTAAGGAAAAAAATAAGAAAACAAAGTAGCTTGCATGGCAAGTAATGACTGACTATTCGTAGTATGTCCCAACACTATATGTAACATCTTCCCCTCAAGTTGGACGGTGCAAGTCGTATATATCTAACTTGGACATGTTGGCATTGAAAGGTCGGGTTAATGGCTTCGTAAAAGCATTTTTGGACTGGAAACCGGAAGGAGGAGGATGGACTTGTTTTGTATCTTCTCACGAATGACATGACAGTCTATTTCGATATGTTTGTTATGCTCGTGAAAAGTTGGATTGTGAGCGAGATAATTTATAGACTTACTATCACAATATATTAAAGAAGGAAAAGAGAAATTGATTGAGAAATTTGAGATAAGGTGACAAAGCCATTGAAGTTCACAAGTTAGTGAGGTAAGGGCACGATATTCTGATTCAGTTGATGAATGAGAAACTGTTTTTTGTTTCTTAGACTTCCAGGATATGAGGGAAGTGCCAAGAAAAACACGGTGGCCAGTGATGAATTTACGAGAATCTGAGCACCTGGCTCAATCAGAATCAACGAATCCATGAAGTTTAAGGGTTGAAGCACTGGAAAAGAAGAGACCTTTGCCTGGGAGGATTTAAGATTCTTGAGAATGTGGATAGCTACAATAAAGTGAGGTGTTAAGGGATTGACAATGAACTGGCTGAGGTGTTGGACAACAAAGGCAATATCGGGCCTAGTGTGAGTGAGATAAAGAAGTATACCAACGAGTTTTCTATAAGAGGTAGAATCAGGTAAAGGGTTGCCTTCACTTTGAGAGAGTTTGGTGTTGGGATTTAGAGGAATTGGAGATGTCTTGGCTCCCAAGGTACCAGTATCCTCAAGAAGTTCAAGGGTGTATTTCCTTTGGTTTATAGTAATGCCTTCATCTAATCGAGAAATTTTAAAACCAAGGAAAAATCTGAGATTACCGAGGTCCTTAATACAGAAAGTGTGGTCAAGAAACTGCTTGATACAAGTGATTTGGTCCAAATAATTTCCTGTCAGTACTATGTCATTGACATAAACCAATAGAGCATTGAAAGAGGATGCTTCAACCTTAGTGTAAAGGGAGTAGTCAGCTTGAGACTGTTTGAAACCCAAGGTGAGAAAAGTATTATAGAGTTTGGAGTACCATTGAACGATGGATTATTTCAAACCGTAGATGGATTTTTGAAGTTCACAAACTTGAGGTGGAGAAGCATCAGAGGCAGGATGACTAGGTGGAAGAACCATGTATACTTCTTCATTCAAATCTCCATGCAAAAATGCATTGTTGACATCTAATTGTTGAAGATGCCAATTATTGATAGCAGCCAAGGCAAGGAGAACTCTGAATGTGCTAAGTTTAGCAATTGGAGAGAATGTATCAAAGAAATGCAGTCCTTCAAGCTGAGTGTAACCATTAGCAACAAGGCGTGTCTTATGCCTTTCAATGGTGCCATCTGCATGATGCTTGAGCTTATAAACCCACCTGCATCCAACTAGTTTTACCTGGTGGAAGTTTAATAAGAGACCGAGTTTAGTTTTTATCAAGAGCAAGCAACTCGGCTTTCATGGCTTATTTCCAACAGTCAAGTTGAGAGGCTTGTTTGTAGGTGTGAGGTTCAATGTTAATTGATATGGAGCAACAAAAAACATGATATGAAGGTGTGCAATGATCATATGAAATCACGAAAGATAAAGGATAAGCATTATGAGTATGATCATCATGATTAATATGCAACACAGAGTTATGGAAATCCTTCAAATAAGAAGGTGGTTTAATGACACAAGTGGGTTTTCTGACAGGTAGGGTAGAGGAAGGTGAAGTAGTAGGAAGAGGTAAGGGAGTGTGCATATGAGGGTTATCATTATTATGTTTAGGATTGGGAGTAGGAGAAGGTGAGGTAGGTAGCATATCAGTGGTTGCAGAGGTAATTGGGGGATTTTGGTGAATCAGTAGGAGAATGAGGAGGGGTATGTAGGAGGGATGAGGGGTGTAATGTCAATGTCTAAGGATGGTTGAGGTTGAGAAGTGACTGGTGAAGAAATGGAAGTGGAAGGAGAATATTTAAGAGAAAAATGTGTTTCATAGAAAATAACATTATGAGAGACAAAAATGTCATGAGAGGTTAAGTCATATAGGATGTAACATTTAGTGTCATCTTTGAATCCAAGGAACATAGCTTTTCTTGCCTTTGTGTCAAATTTTGTTCTATGAGCAAGGATGGAAAATGCATAACATAAGCAGCCAAACACCTTTAAGTGTATAATGGATAGGGGTTCTTTATGAAGAAGTTCATAAGTAATTTTAAATTTAAGTAGAGGAGTGAGAAGTTTGTTAATGATATGGATTGCATGTTAGGTGCTAAAGGTCCAAAGGTTAAGAGGAAGGTTAGCTTGGAAAGCAATGGATCTAGATATGTTAATAATGTGTTGATGTTTAAGTTACACAACTCCATTTTGTGTTGGGGTTTCAACACATGTTCTTTGATGAATAATACCTTTTAAATGAAGGAAGGAGTCCATAGAAAATTCAGTGCCATTGTTTGTTCTTAAGCATTTCAAGGTTGTGTTAAATTGGATTTCAATATAGGCTATGAAGTTGATGAGTTTAGATATGGTTTCATCTTTGGTTTTGAGAATCCTTTAGCAAAAAGATGTTCTTTGTAGCGTTCAACAGCCCATCAAACTTATTTTTCATCTTGTATATCCAACGAGACCCAATAACACGTTTTCCAAGAGGAAGATGTACTAATTCCCAAGTATCTATTTTATGAAAAGCAAAAAGTTCTTTTGTCATAGACTGCTTCTAAATAAAGTCAAGAATAGCCTCTTTATAGGAAAAGAGCTCAGACAAACTGTCGATAGAGGTTAGAAAAGAAGCAAAAGAAGTTGAGTAAGTGGAATAGACAAAATCAGATAATTAAGTAGACTTACGATATTGAGAGGGATACCGGGGATACAGAGGATCAACAATCGCAAGAGGTTCTTGGGTAGCCATGGGGACAAGAGAGATGTCAGTATCTGGAAAAGAAGTAGTATCATCCCTACAGTTCTCAAAATTATAATTACTAAAAACATTATCATTATGACCAAAAGGATCAATATGGGTGAGTTTTGAACTACTAGTAATATGAGAATAAAAAGAAATAGAGTAAAAATGAATTGGTTTAAGGAATGACACCCTTTAAGTGACTGTATGGTCTAAGGTGTAGGAGGCTTTGGGTTCTAAGCTGAGGTTGAGTTTTACCTAGCATCCACAAACATATGCTCAGACAGAGATAACTATTTAGTCCTTGGGAGATTTGTTTAGAGCTTATGTCCTTGAGCAAGGAGGGGATTAGGATAGTCATCTTCCACTGATAGAGTTCACTTATAACAATAATTTCCTTTCTAGCATTGGAATGACACCCTTTGAGGGACTGTATGGTCTAAGGTGTAGGACAAATTTGTGTTGGCATGAATCTGGT